ACATAATAGCCACACTTTCCTCTTTCTTATTCTTAAAATAAGGCTTACCTTCATGGTTTCTTTAGTCTGCTACGAGGAAAAGATTGCACCGATTCGGTTCCCCATCATCATATCCGAAAGATAAGAAATTTAACTCGCAAAACAAACGTTTTTTCGCTCCAAAAACATCCCTTAACACGGTGCCTTTTCAATTTGTAAAGTGGCATTTTCCAGAATTGCGAGAGGCGAGGAAATGAAGTCATTACTTAGGCAAAAATGCTCCTTCGAGCGGTTTGTTTTCTTGTTATTTCATCCTACACAATTTCTGTCTACGAAATGTAGTAAATAACGATTCAAGCTTGCTTAAGCTACTACGCAGCTATGTATATGCAAGAAATTATTTTGTTTCTTTCAGTTCGAAATATTTTTCAGTCATTCTTGCCCTATCATTTATTCATATAGTTTTGGGGTACAACTTAATTAACTTGTAAGCGCAGCACACCCATAATGAACCCTTTTTCTTTATGCACAACTTTCTACATGCATTATCAAAAAAGGCTTAATTGGTTCATGGTTAAGCTGTGCGTATATCAAGTTATGTGGATGCACTTTGGAAGTTGGAAGAGCACACGAGGAGCTAGGGTTGCTCTTAGCTGAAGCTTGAGCAACTCTTATGCTCCTCTTGTGCTCTCCAAACTTTGCAAGTGCATCCACAACTCGATATACTCAGGCTAAGCATAAACCAATTCTTTACAGATTCCCTCCTCCTATTGTTTATTTAAATTTCTAGACAGCAGGCACAGCATTTTCATGACCAACAAACATGTTTCAACTGCACAAGGAAGAATAATTATGTTTATCATTTAATACCCAAGAGGGCAGTTACATTAACACTCTGAGTCTCTGATGAATTAAGACTGCTACATCAAAAAATCCATCCTCAATTCAAGCAAGGGAAAAAAATGGGATGAATCGTATCCTCACAAAATAAAGGGGTAACAATAATCTCTGGACAAAGAATTTTAAATAAACCTTACACAGTCAATAAAATATTTACAACATTATTTTCAGGACTTTGAGTCAATTATCTTATAATCCAATCACCTTGGAACACTTATAAAATATTTTGTAACTGATCTCAGCAAACACAAACTCAGCCTCAGGTGCAGGCATCTCGTTTATTGATGCAGGATATGGTGAGCCTTTAAGATCATCATAAAGAAAATACAGCCGTGAATAAACAATAATGCAAGTTGAAAGACATATTGCCTTTGGGTGGCTCTTAAATACCTTACAAAATCTTAAATAGCCTAGTAACCCCAAGAGATTCACCTTACCTACAAACATGACTAAAATCCTGCTACACTTAACATGAATCATACGTATGAACATACTCCTGTGTCATTAGCAAAGTGTTACAAAACAAATACATTTTTTGCAATGTATCATGGACAGAGACAGTTTTTGAAGAGTTACCTTGTAGAATTTCTCCCATGTAGTATTTAGTAATCGGGTATATAAAACAGAATTAGGACAATTGGTAAGAAAATTTTTCAGTTCCAGTTACACTTTACTTGAATGTCAACTGTCATCAGGTAATATCTGGGAAGACCGAATTTCCTTGGGCTTCTAGTGTCATGGGATAAAGTGGATGACTACACAGCAGGTTTGCCAACTGATGAGGTTCGCTGTGAAAGATTTATGAATTGTTGATGTAATGTTTACCAAAAAATAAATCAGATGCCATATGGAATCGGTATTCAGTTGGCCTTGATTGGCATGTTTTCTTGGCTTGCAGTAGTTGACTTACTGTATCATGATGGCTAGAAAACGTTTTCTATCCTATAAACACCATAAGATAACCAAAAGAACAGACTTTCAGTTACCACCCCTACATGATGTTAACTTTGTTCTCTGTGAAGAATTACATTCAAATGTGAGTTTGACCTATGATGCAGCGCGAAAAGTATTGTCCTCCATGAAAACCCATTTGAAATTCTCATTATTATGATGATGGTCACCAGAAAAAGAATGCACTCAATAATGGAGTATTTTTCTACTCGACCCAACGAATCTCCAACCAAGAAAAGGCCAAGAGATGATTAAGAATACTCTTGAACAAAGCCTTCTTGTTACAATATGTTGGTTGGCTTTAATTTGTGCATTCAATATGACAAAATAATGCTCCATGAATACTCAAGTTCAATTTGGAATTCTTGCAAAAGATCATTGTAGGACTAGACAGTCAATGAAATGTTGTTACTATTCAAGAAGATGAGATTCTTTTCTATAAACTTTTTTTTGTACCCTTACAATTAAGGCTGACGACTGCTGTAAACAATATGTTTGGAAGTACAAACGTGACTTAAAGGAGGTAAGCACATGTAAACGGGGCAATTGGCACCACTGTCTAATTCATGGATTGTTGCATAGATTATAGCCAAAGAATAAAACAGTGTGTCATTATATCTCTAGAACTTTGAAGAGCACTAAGAAAAAAAAGAGAACCCATTATAAATAAAGTCTTCTAGTTTGTTTTGAGAGCAGAGAAATTTACCTTCAGTGGAGAAAGTAAATTGAATTAAAGAATGTTCTCACTTTGATTGTGCTCTAAAATGGTTGCCTAGCACGTGATCAATTTCTTTCTTGCCAGCTCGTGTTTCACTTTCTCTGTAACATACAAACAAAGTCAAGCATGGAGCAAACATACTCCAAAAACTCATTTAATTTTGTACTGAATTGCTTTTGATGTGTTGAGCCTTTTTCCAGCAACAACGAAAAACCAAATTTTCCTTGTCAGCACCTCAAAAAGGTTTGGAGAACAGTTTGAAAATAAGCATACCAATGTTAGGGTTAACAAGGGCATACTGTCTAGTAGTTTTCCACATATTTTGAATTAAATGTTGTATATACAACACCAATATATATAATATTTACACTACTAAACATTTCCATGTAATTCATATGAATATCTAAATGAATTTAACATTGGCTTTATGGATCAGCACAGACCAGATGACACCTCTAGCAAGCTTACCTTCTTACATCTAATAACAGGAAAAAGTACAAATTTCAATGTCTTACAAGTTCTCTTCACTGAGGAGGAATTATTTTTAAAGTAAGTTAAAGTAAGTAAGTAAAACCTTTATTTAACCACGATAACTATTGAAGCTATGCAGCTTGTGGGGTTGTGTATAAGTAGATAAATAAAAAGACACATAAATAATAGTTGTAGTACAATACAAAATAAGACTTATGTGTAAACATAAGATAATGTTTAGATTAATAATTGATAGTATTATCTAACGAATAAAATTATAGAATCTAAAAATACTTCTTTTGGAGAGGAGCTATCTTTTACAGAATAAATTAGGAAAGTCAATGTCCCTTACCAAAAGAAGTTTTTTAATCATCCTGGAGAAACTTTACACACTATGCACATTATGACACTCGATTGGCAGATAATTCCACAAAACTGAACCTCTGTAAGATATGGAATGCTTTTTGATATTCAATTTGAAAGGTGGGATTTCCAGCTTAAGACTGTTCCTTAAATGATAAGAGGTTTGCAATTTCACAATATGTGCTGTCATACAGGGTGGTATTATCATTGTGGTACATCTTATAAGTTAGTTTCAGGATAGATTGTTTATAGATCGAAAGTTTTTAAAGTACTCTCTTGTTGGTTAAATCTAGAAATAGCATATGACAGTGAATTGTGCTTACAAAAGTTAGAGGCTATTAAAAGTGAAAGTTATCGATTAAAATTGATTCTTTCTCATACTTGCATAAACAGAATAATGCTAATTGAGTATAGAGAGAAAAACTTGGCCGGAAAGTCATCATCAATTGAGCATCTCCTTCGGAGCCTTCCTTTTGGTCTTCTGCTCAGAGAAAATGAATATTGTCGGAACTGAATCTGACTTAAGACTTACTTTCCGGCCAGCACATGACTTAGAAAAGTCTTCCTTTTCAAAATATTCACTGCATAAAAGAAATTTTTACTTACGGGCATGCATTCCCGTTTAATCTTGACTAGCCAAGTCGCCAGAAGTTTCTCGTTGCTCAGTGGCAGTGAACGCAACGAAAGATGCTTGCAATGTGGTTTATCGCTCTGGTTGTTGCATCCAAATGCAATACAATGTCTAACCATTGCTATCTTTGCCTTTTGAATGTTTCAGATTGTCGATAAAAGTAAAAAAATTGTGTAAAATGCGAGTTGTCTTGAAATATAACAGTGATACCTTTGAGAATTTACAAAGCCTTTGGCCCAAGTGCCTCGATTCCGTGCATCTTCTGACAAAACTGCTTTTACTTGGGCTCAGATCTAATATCTGCCATTCCAATCAACTGAGTGAGCAGTAGTAGTTTCAATGCACAGTAGTCTTCATTTGGTGCTTCGATATCATCGAAACGAAAGTCTATCGATCTAATGCAGCATTAATTTTACGGAATAACATTCAACACATCATATCAAAATTTGCACCTCGACCTGGTTTTCATTTAAGCCACACACGCACAAGTGAGAAAATAAATATAAAATATAAATACGCCATATGAAAACGAAAGTCGACTAAGACAAGCACCAGTACCAGCACAAGAACAAGGAAAATTAATTTGAATCTTTGTGCTTACGCTTGTGTTTAATTGCTTCCCTTTAGGCCGTTTTCACGTTAAAATACGAGCTGTTCTGCTCGTTTGTACTTGCGCTTCTGCTTGGGTCGCTGGTGAAAACCAGGCTTTACAGTTCACTAGAATCTTTAAGATAATAACTTCATATTTCTAGATCTGCTGACGCACTAACTTAATTAGTAGCTAGTAATAATAATCAAACCTGCAAAACACACATTTTTCCTTTGTGAGTTGAGCGTGCATTATGCAACTACACAAACTGCATGGTAGTTCACAAAAAGAAGTTTGAGCTGTGAACTAAAGCTGTTGAAAATATGTTAACTCGCCAATTCGCAGAACGTTCCCTCCGCAAACAGTACCAAGATTAGTATAATTAAGAAGATACTCGCCTCCTTTCCGGACAAGAAGCTGAACATTGACGAGCAGAAACAAATACCATATTTCTGAGAACGACTTCATAACTTGTAATCATCCAGAGGTCTGTTTACCACGGTTTCCGACGGAGGAATAAACAAGGAAGTATTCTCATTACTACGAAGTTGGTGCCCGCACTAGACTCGGCTGCAGCCTGTGCATATCTGAGGAGAGTACGTCATAAGATTTGCTATAAAGTGTCCTTCTTATTAGCATACCGGAAGTCGGTGGAATGTCACTGACCAAAATAATCCAAACCTCACATCTTTTCTCTTGGGTGTTATTTCTTCAACTCAAAAAAGAAAAATTAGATGTTTTGCGATAAAAGTAGAAAGTCCAAGTTTTCGAGGTCGTAGAATGATTTATTCATGAGCTACTATCGCTTCCATATCAGTAGTAATCGAAACCAAATAATACATTTTGCTAATTCTGAATCGTAGATATGTAGCCGTGGAGAGGAATTTAACAATTTACAGTGAAATATATATCATTTTCCTTACACGAGATGCATTGTCCGGTCCCTCGAATAACTTGGTTGAGCTAATCACATTCTCAGTGTGAGGGTTTTGTGGAAACTGATATGTTAGCGGGTATCGCATAAGAAAACCTCTACTAATAGCCTTTCTTTTCGGATTGCATGATTTATTCCATGACAAGTTCCTCTGAATAGTACCAATTCAAACTTTGACTCGCCCTTGCAGTTTTATTAAAGAAAAATGCTATCGAACTTGCAATTTCCGTCTATTTCGTGTTCAACCATCTACCAGAATGTCCAAGTTACGTTTAAAGAAAATTACTCGTACATAAAGTATTCTCTCATTCTCGATACCACGTCACTCACACGCTCAAAGACTCACCTATTCGTGAAAGTGATTATAAAATTAAAAGGCTCATGACTTACGACTATTTCACGCTTTTTAAAACACGTGAGTGGAGTCCAATATTTGGTCTGATATAAATCATGTGACTTAAAAATAGGAGGAGTGTACAGGTGCGGTACAGCGCAAACTTCAATTCACTCTTGATTTCGTAAGACCTATGTTTATGTTATTCACAGTGATTTTCAAAACCAGTATTTTCCTTTACAATTACTTTAAAATAGCTGCTATTGCTATCTATTGGCGAATAAGCTTGATCTCAACATCGAGTGCGATCGAAATTTTTTACATAACTTGGTCTACCAGTCAGTTTTCCTGAGGATATTAAAACCTTGTCAACATGTCTGCGAATTCATTGCTCAATTTTCAGTTTCAAATTTGAAAAGCAATCAATTTTCACCGCGTCCACCCCATGATGTATTATCACTGAACTATGCACTAGCCAGATAATACAAGCGCTTGCACAGACGTTGCCTCACCACCCAACAAGGCGAGTTTTTTAACAATCTTTGTCATCATATTACCGACCTCTCCAAAACGACTAAAGCAATATTTAAGTGATAATGTGAACGATTACTTGTCGTTGCACAGAATGCAACAAGAAGCCTTTCATTTGACAAGGATAATATAATTGCTTAGTTGCTGGCAGCACCAATAGGAATGATAATCGATCAGATTTGTCGTATTTTACTTCTCCCTTCGAAAGAAAAAATGATTTAAATTCTGCCGTAGAGCAAATTAAAAGGGTGATGAACAAAAGACTGACCCCCAGCTCATGGACTACCCTGATGGACTGCCCCGATTGGACTACCCTTAAATGAACTAACCCGACAAAATCCTAGTTTGAATGGATTCTACTGAAAGCACCGCTATCTATAAAATTCCTTTGCATGCGCCTTCCTTATCATTTTCTTCATTCGATGCTATATTTTTTCACGTACATTAGGTACTTAAGAATTATAGATACAGTTGAATCTTTTAATTTCAGCTTCGAGTCAGCGTTGGAAATGGCAAAGTTTCGTCTTATCAGTCTACTCAGTTTCAGTATCTCGTCCACAATGCGGAAACAAATACTGCTGTAACCTTTATTTTCCCTAGAGGTTACTGAACGAAATATTCATGATTGTGTGTAATTGTACGTTCTACAAAATTTGAAAAAAGATAAATATTTCTCCCAAAAAGTTATTATCATTTGTATCGCTAATGCAAATTAAGCTATGGCTTACATCTTTTACAGTCTTGTATACAAAATCGTTCGTCTTTTCAAGACTAAAACTTGAACGCGAAAAAAAGAATATATAAAAGCTACACTTTGCCTCGCTTCGCTATTCAACAGCCTGGTTTAAGAGTTGCTTAATCAGCAAAGAATTAAAAGTTTATATAAAATACACAAAGGAAAGAGTAGATTATTTCAAAGGGCTGTAATATTCATTACTCCATCCTTCCCTGTAGGTATGGGAATTCACTTGTTTTCTCGCCAAGATTGTCAACATTAACATACAGATGAACGTCGTATTTTTTAAGTTGATCAGCGACCATAAAAAAAAAATTAAAGTGGCAAGGAAAGTTCCTCTCGGGGAGGTGGAAAGACGACAAGCTGAATCAAAAGGGGTGTTGGGATTGGCTGAGGAGTTGGACGGAGGCACCCTCACGAGTAGCTTACACCAACAAAGCTGTATACAGCGAGGAAAGTGAGAGCAAGACAGGTCAATGATGTTAGGTGTAGGATGTGTAACAAAGCACCCAAGAGTCTTCCCCATGTCCTGGCCGGCTGCCTTTTCCTCGCGCAAAACAAGTACTTGTCGAGACACTGTGCGGCCCTCAAGGTCTTGTCTTTCGAGAAGCTGAGGGATTTGGAACTGATAGATGCGGTTCCCCCCGTACTCGTCCGTAGATCCTAAACCAGTCTATGAGTCCCAGGAAGCCAAGGCCTTCTAGAATGTTCCAGTGTCTGCGGAGCACAGTTTTGTGAAGCAGAACAGAGTAGATGCGCGTTTCATTAACGTCAAGAAGAAAGAGGTGATAGCTGTGGAGATGTCGTGCCCGTGGATGGACAACCGGCTGACGAAGACCGAGAAGACTGCAAAGTATGGTCCTTTGAGGTGGGAGATGACAAAGTAGGAGTAGGTTTAGCAACAAATACGACTTGGATCTGACAAACATGGTAGGACGTCGCTGGTGGCGATAAGATGAAGCGAAAGCCTCGAAACCCAACAAACAAGTAGATTCAGACTTTATGGTAAGTTCACTCTTGTTATTTGAGGTGGAGGTAGCTGCAGGCGGTCTCGGGATCAAATAAAAGCGGGTAAATGGGCCAATAAACAGAAGAACCAACGGAGCTCGAAAATATACGTCCATCTTCCTCCACTCGCCCCAATCTTTTCCCAATCTTTCCCGAATCTTTACTTTATGTAATAGAGAAATTACGTCTAAAAACTTTTCCAGATTGGGATTGAAATGATTAGCCCTAAGTTGTTGCCCATTGACGCAGAATTATTTCCGGTTGCAGCTCCTTTCGATTTCTCCTGCTCCTCCCGAATGATAAAATTATTTATAGTTCACAGCAATTATTCTTGGGGCAGAACCTGAGAGATCACCGAATCGTGTGACACACTTAGCGATTTTATTTGCCGATCACGGCGATTTTTGAGAGACGCGATCGGCGAATAAAAACGCCGAGATTAGTCTATATCTGCCACATTAGCCTGCGTAGCCTGGCTCTTTTAGGGGGAGGGGTGGGGAAGGGGAAAGAGGAGAGAAGGGAGAGCCTGCACTGGCCCTATTTTTTTCGCATTTACCGCCCAAAATTTTCAATCAATCATACTCGCCGAAAATCAACCAATCAGAAGGCGCCAGAAGCAGTTCGCGCGTTCACTGTCAGTTTCCTGTCAAAACAAACACGCGCTTCTGGTTGCGGACACAGATAGTTCTTTTACTTGAGCAAAGAAAGTAAAAAAATCATCTTCAAACCGATCAAACTAGTTTTGTAGACTTTGTAAAAAGAGCCTTAGAATTTTGTATGGTGATCGTGTAAGCTATACATCCTACAGTAATAGTTTTAGAGCACCGAACGATCCGTCCAAGAAACCGCTGTCAGAATCTCTCAAAAGCAGTAGAATTATTGTCGAAAACGAAGAAAACTGTATACAGGTAGTCTGTGGGACTTGCGGAAGAAAATTGCAAGGTCTTTATGAATCATTCACCAGTGTTCACCAGTCTTTAAGTCAAAAGGAGTCTTCGTTAGCTGAGTTATACAAGGCGAAGAGGAAAGTCGAGGATGTAGTGACACCATCGAGATCAAGTCCTGCAAATCGCAAGACACGCAGAGAACTATCACGAGGAAAATCGAAGTCAAGAAAGGAACTTTTCTCAACAGGCAAAGAGAACGATTTACCGACAGAAAAAGATTCATTCGAAGAGGCGCGAAGAAAGCAAACAATTGAAAATGTGACTCTTTCGAAGTTAAACATAGACGATCTGGAAACGTCGCGCGGATCTGCGATCAAGGTTGTGACTGCATATCCTTCGGGAAATGTAACTTTTAGAAGTAATTTTACTGATGTAGAAAAATCAATATTGTCAAATATTGATTTTTCGAAATGGGAGCGTGTTATCAACGCAATATTCATCCATCCAGATCTCCACCAGGAATTCCGTAACTACAAGAACAAGTCCATATCCATGTTCTAGGCATGCCTTCGCCACAAGGACAAGAGACTAAAATATCACGCTTTTGCCAAATCCAGTGGGCAAAATCACTATTAAATCTTTCCCCAAGAATAAATGTTTACTTGAAGTAATTTGCTATGCCTTCAAAACATAATTCTCGCCTTTGAAGTTCCTAAATCGTTGCTCCACTTCTTGTATTTTTACATCGAAAAGCTCACTCTTGTCCGCCATTTTGAACAAGAGTTGTGATTCAAGACGGGAAACTGATTGACAGGTAATCGACCAATAGAAATCACCCAATTTTTTTTCCACTTATAGGAATTTCCCGCGCCGAAACTAAGCGGCAAATGAACGCGAAAAAAATAGGGCCAGTACAGGCTCTCCCTTCCCTCCTCTTTCCCCTTCCCCCACCCCTCCCCCTCCAAAAGAGCCTGGCTACGCAGGTTACTGCCACATCAAACATCCGCGATTTAAACGCTGAAACTCGCCATCACCACACCACAGTTTAGGTGTCCTTATTTAGTGGGAAACTGCTCTTGATTTGACACATGAATAAAGTTTATTATTATTATTATTATTATTATTATTATTTATT